TTCTGATTGACAATATATTGCCAAAGCATCAATCTTATGATGCTGGTAATATAGTTAATCTGAAAAATATTAAAATCCATTCCCTAACAAAAGCTTGCATTTCTTTCTTTGAATTGTAAAAATATGCAAGTCATGCATAAAATTAAATGGAACTTCCTTCCCCAGTGACTTGACTCTTTCAACAATTTGAACTGTGCTTTGAATAGATTTTTTTTTCACTAGCACCACTTCTAGATTTTCCTTTATTTTAATTTTCTCATCTGCCCATAGCAATGAACCCAGATCTGTCAAAAAAGCTGAACAGGTACAAAAAGAGCCATTGATGACCAGATAGTCAAAGTCAGTTCGAAAACACTACTGTCTAAACTTACTAAGATACTACCAAAGACCTTTCCAAATGCATGGGAACCTAGAAAAGACATCAGGGAGATGATGTAACAGACTGAAGGATCTTCACAGCCCGTCATTTGGTCACAGGAACTATTAACAAGGGCTTCAAATTTTGATTTTTCTTCGGTCAGCTGTCAGCTCGTTTAAAATGGCTGCAAAGGTCCCACCCTGGAGATTGTGAGTTATTGAGTCAGGGGCAGGGCCCAAGGAATCTGTATTTTAAGAAGCCCTCTTCAAGTGATTCTGGGGCACAAGGAAGTAAGAGATTCCCTGGTATACATGACTCAAACATGTTTGTCCTGCCAGGGCCTGGTACCACTTCAATCTGTCTGAACTTTTCAACCTAAACCGGTCATACTCGAAAGTGCCTGGGTACTTCCCGAAGCACAGATTCCTGCGGTGGGGATTACCCCATACAGGGAAATAGCTGCTGCCCACACCGGTACTAACAAGAGAAAGGAGACTAACACCGCCGAATCATTTCAGCGGCTCCCAATTCTAAACCCGCGCTATGTTTTCTAATCTCTAACCGGCAGGCTTAACTTTCAGGAAGAAATTTAAATTCCTTCACAGATGTTTATACAGGGCCTGAGGGCTTCTTACCTCCCTAACGTAAGAGAGGATCGCCAACGGTGGGAGGAAACACGGGGTCGTAAAGAAGGGTAAGGTCGTGTGGTTTTACGCTCTCAACCTTTAGAACCTCCTCCCCTGTCTCTTCCCGTGACCTTGTCGGGACTCTGCGGGCCGGAGCGCTCGCCCTCCCAGTTCCTCCTCACCACCTCGCGGGCCCACTCTCCACAAGGCTCCCTGCTCCAGCTACCGGCTCCCTGAGGTCGGCCCCAGGCCTTTCCATGGGTCTCTCACTACTGCCTCTCCCCGAGTCTTCCCTCTCGGCCACGATTCACTCCACAAGCTTTGGCTTCATCCTCTCGTTGGCTCCGTATCGCCTCACCCGACAGGCCGTCAGGCTTTGTCTCGGGACCCCCAACTTTCCCTGAACCACGAGGTCGGGCCTGAGAGCTTCCAATTACACCTCGTCCGGTTCAACCTGGGCATCGCCCCTTCCTCCCAGCCCCGCGGCCCCCAACACTCCCAAGGCGCTCTCGGCCCAGCCAAGCGCTGCACCACTACTTCCCTCCCCACGGTCGGCAGTCCTCCGCTCCCAAGACTCCCTCAAGCTTCACTTGCCTGCAACGACAGGAACTCTTAAACTCCAGACGGTTGTCAAGCTCCAACCGGTTTCAGGCTCTCGCCCACGCCCGCTGTAAAGCCGGCTTCTCTTTGTCCCGCCCACACCTGATCCTAGCCAATCAGAAACCAGCGGCCGGCAAGCGAGGGTCCCGGCAGGGGCGTGCGTGTGCGCGGTGGGTGGGGCAGGTCCCGGATTGGCTGGGGATGACGCGCGTGTGGCTCAGGGTCCCCGGCTCTCGCGTGGGGATAACGTCAGGGGTGAGAGTTCGCCGTGCGAAGTTCACGCGAGGACTCCAGCGTCCCTGGCTCTTAGGCTGGCGGGACCTCAGATTTCTCTCGCGTTTTTACCCTCGTGCGGCGGCGGCTAACTCCGCGAAGGCTGTATCCCGAGCGCGGGCCTGGCGGGGACGGGCATGAGGGGCTTCGGTCGCAGCCAGTTCTTGGGAGGCTCGGGGGAGGACGTTCCGGCTTTCACGGGCGCCGACGGCGGCGGGGCGACGGAGCGACGGAGCGCTCGATCCTTTCCGCTCGTCTAGTAGTTATCTGCTGCCACGAACACGTGCTGTGGAGCCTCTCGTGGAGCCCTTCTTGGGGCTTGCACTCTGGTGGGGGGCAGCCATTAGTTGCAAGCATGGGGTCTCTAGAGCGGTGGTCTGACCCAGAACAGGGGAGGTTTCTCTGAGGAAGGCAGTGTCTTGAGGTGACAGTGAACTTCCAGGGAGGGAGCCTCTAGTTTGTTCGTATGATAGATAACCAGTATCTGGCGAGCTGATGCAAAGCGTCAACTGTGCCGTAGGGAATATATCTGTGACTAAATTAGAATCTCTTAATGTTGCCGTGAAGTGAGACAGGTTGCCCATGTTGTGTATCACACAGGTAGGAACCAAGTGCCGTGAGCTCCGGATTCTGAAACTCTTTTTGTCTCATGATTGAGTTAAGACACACGTAGGAAACATTCGTGTTATATATGTTGAATTAAAAACGTCATACCTTGGTTTTATTATGGTTTGGCTTTCAGCTACTTGAAGGCACATACTTGGTCTGGTTCACGCCCATATTTCCTGGAACAGTCTTTGAGCTCAGCTCAGTAGGAGCCCAGTGATGTTAAATGAAAACATAAGTGATGCAGTAATTGTAGGGTTTCAAAAATAAGGGGATAACCAGAGACTTATTTAGGATAATTAAAATGACAAAAGAGCCTGAGAGACTTGAATATGAAGGTAAACCCGAAGTCATTAAGCCCCGTGATTCTGGAACTACAAAGGCTAATAGCAGCAGGGAGCTGAGCGTATTCATTCCTGAAGGGGATTTGTACAAATCAAAGGAATGTTAGCTTCCTTTGCACATTTCCAGAGAATGAGATTTGGGATCTGGGAGACTTGAGTGCCAGCCTCAGGCTAGCCACAAAGTAGTCTTGACCTTGGGTTTTACTTCTCAAAACTTCACTTTCTTCATCTGTAAAATGGGGGTAACAGTGGTGCGGTTAATGAGGAAAATGTAGGTAGAGTGTTAGTACAGCGCCTGGCATGAGAAGTGTGCACTCTTTAAAAGTTCCTGTGCTGTGCATTGTGTGGAAAGAGGCAGACCCTGCCCTAGTGGTATGAGAAATTATCTCTTTCTGATTGGTATATAGAAGCCAGATCTTGGTAAATGATAATGATAAATACCTGAAATAATCAATGCAGAAGATTTTTTAATGGAGGTTATTCTGTTATACTTTTTTCCGTGTTGTGTTCCAAGAAAACAGCAGTGACAGCTGACAAACCATTACATCTTTCATCATGCAGACCTAATTGATAGCAAATGTACATCATGTATTATTCTCCTTACTCTGTCATTTAGAAGTATAATTGATGCAGAAGACTTTAAAAAATTATTCGGGTTCTCATGCATTAAACTAACCTACTTGTAATTTGTAGAAGGAAAGACGGCACAAGAAGTGTCTGCCTAATTTGCTAATTTCTGCTCTTTGGAGAGCCTTTGTAACTTCTTATGTTCTTAATAGAGGTTTACACACGATCGATCGTATCTACTGTAAGAGAAATGCGCTTCTAAACTCATGTCTATTTAAGCTGACGCCCAGTTTAAAGCTACACTACTCTTTTTTATATTCTTAAAACTACTTTGTGATCTTTATGGAATTTTTTCTAAAATTTTGAGAAAATTGCTAATAGCTACAGAAATTTTAAAACCAGAGTTCAAAGTCACCTTCAGCAATTATATTTCTTGGTGTGTATATTTTGTTGGGTATTGTACTGGATTTAGAAGTTAAAGACCTAGTCCTTTTCCTGAGATGATTTACAGTCTGATTAGGTAGAATGAAAAGATACAGAAAAACACTAAAAACAGTCTATGATAGGTGGTTTCAACACAGCCTCAGGTAGATACAGTGAGCGAGCAGTTTCAGAGAAGGCTTCTTGGGACTGGGGTTTGAGTGATTAAGCTTTGAAGAATGACTAGCTTGTAAATAAATTGGGAGACTATTTCAGAAAGAGAAAACAGTGGGCAGAGGAATAGCAGTAGACTATGGAATTGTAGCTCTAGCATGGACAGTGAATGGGGAAATGGCAAAATTTGTGACTAAAGGAGAGTCAGAATAATGGGAAGTAGGCTTAAGCTACATTGGGAAGGACTTTAAATGCTAATTAAAGAAGTTGCACAGTATTCTATCAGGTGGCCCTTGAAGGTTTGGGAGTAGGTTGTTGACCAGAATAGTTAGAATATATTTGAGGTAGATGATAGTGTAGTAGAATGGTTAGAAAGGGAATATCAGAAAGTTAAAACCCATTCAGTGTTTAGCTCATTATATTATTTGTATTGAAGCCGTATCTGTGGTCTTAAGGATATGGAAGGCTGCTACATGCAGTGGCCTCATCCCTCTACCTCCTTGACAAGAACCACTATTTTGAAGCAACAATAGTTCTTACAAAGCAGTTCTCAGGCAGAATCGTCAGGGACCCAGACCATCTTAAAATCCATGTTAGAGGACTGTCCTGCAGGGCTACTCAATATGTCACAGCTCTGTACATCTTACATTTTGTAGATTCATGGAATACTACTTAAGGTGTTTGTTTTAAACAAAAGTAAACTTCCCAGGCACATTAATAACATTTTAAAGTTTATTTATTTATTTTGATAGAGGGTGGGGGAGAGTCAGAGAGAGGATCCCAAGCCAGCTCCATGCTGTCAGCATGGAGCCCGATGCAGGGCTTGAACCCAGGAACCATGAGATCATGGCCTGAGCTAAAGTCAGAGGCTTAACTGACTGAGCAACCCAGTGCCCCAAAAGTTTTGTTTAAAACTAGGTAGGAACTTTTAAATAAACCAAGATTCTGTGGCAAAAGGTAATTGGGCCCCTTCCTGGACTGCTTATTTAAGTCTATCAAGTGTTTTATAAGAAATGCTATTTTTCCCCCCAGAAGGAGCAGCTGCTAATTGTATCAGGCCACCAGGTTCTGCTCAGGTATGATAGTTTCTCTTTTTCACAAATTGTATATGCCAGAACATTAAGTCTGAGGTACCTAGTCCATCACTCTGCCCTTTAGGAAGAATAGTTCTAAAATGCAATCTCAAAACTCTCCACATGGGGGGAAGTCAATGTCTCCTACTTTTATATCATTGGTTTCACTCAACTATGTAAAATATTTTTCTATTAGTAACAAGTATGGCAGTAGGATTTGTGTGTTTAGATAGTGATATTTTCTGTAGTGAACAAAAATATTATACTTGAAACATTTTAGTCTTGAATTAATTTTTCCACCAATGCACTAGATGATATTATTGTTGTTCTGGGCAGCAACATTCTTTTTTTAATTTTTTTTTTAACGTTTATTTTTGAGAAGAGAGAGACAGAGCAGGAGAGGGGGAGGAGAGAGAAAGAGGGAGACACAGAACCTGAAACAGGCTCTAGGCTCTGAGCTGTCAGCACAGAGCCTAATGCGGGGCTCGAACTCACGGACCACGAGATCATGACCTGAGCCGAAGTCAGACGCTTAACCAACTGAGCCACCCAGGCACCCCCCCCCCCTTTTATTTTATTTTATTTTATTTTATTTTATTTTATTTTGGGCAGCAACATTCTTCTTAAGAAGTACCAAGGGGGGAAAATGTGGTGGAGTGGAAAGGGGACTGGCCTGTGTCCCCAGGACTGCTACATGCATGTAGTTGAGAGACATGGATTTGAATGCTGCCTTGAATGCTTATTACCATTATGACCTCAAACAAGTCATTTAGCCTGTTGGAACCTCAACGTTTCATCAACAAAATGGGGATATTAGTAAGTTCCTTAGATGCATTGTATGATCTAAATAACCCTATTTAGATCTAAATAACCCTATTTACCAAGAACAGTGCTTAGGATATATCAGACACTCCATACATGTTAGTTCCCCTCTCTAATGCAGTCCCCTTCCTCTTGCTGCCATATTCCTAAGCACTAGCCAGCAATGCAACCTAAAATCACTTTTCTTCTCTAGACCTCTAAATGTCCTGAACTGTGCCATTAAGTCACACTTTTCATTTATCTTTGCTCAGCCTCACCTTCCATTCCCCTGATATCCCCACTAACCCTTTTCACTGAGAGCACTGAGAACTTCTCTTACCTCTTCCTTTGCTCCCACATCTGGACTTACCTGCATCCACCTCAGTCATTTCTTCTGGTCTTGAGTGCCTTCCTCCCACTGAACACCAATCAGTTCCTGTACTGGATTCCATCATTTCTTGCCACCTCATCTATCAATTGTTTGCTCTCTCATCTGTAATTGTGTTTGCTCTCTCTTGTTATGGGCTTCTCCTACCCAAGACTCTTCTACTTATAGAAAAAGTCCCTTCCTAGCTCCTTCATCCTTCCTGTAGTTATTTTTCTATTTTCTCTCTCCCAGGTTTAGGAGGAAAAACATATGTGTGTTATTTCCATATCACTCTTTGCTCAACCCACAGGTCTCTGTTACTGTCACACTACTGAGACTATAATAGTGAAGGACATCTACTCTCTTTTTTCCTCTTGGGATCATCTCATGTACCCTCATGGTTTTTTACTGTCATCTGTATACTGATGCTCTCTTCTCTCTCTGCCATACTTCTTACCTGAGCTGTAGAACCCTACACTCAGTTGTGTGTTGGACATCTCTACCTCAGTATCCCACAGATTCTACAACATGTCCATAAGTGAGCTGGATTAATCATCTCTTCCCCTCCTTCCCCCTGCTGTGGACACTCCCCTCCCAATAAGCCTGCACTTTCTCCTAAATTCCCTGACTTGGCTGGTGGAACGGCTATCCATCCCATTAACCAAATATGAAACCTGGGTAAGTCCCTGACACAACTTCCTCCTTTCTCCACATCCAGCCCATGACATCTGAGCAGAGGACTGAACGACGAGGGGCCAGTCCTATGAAGCTCTGGGAAGATCTAAGGTAGGGATGGCACTCTGCCTTTGCTCTCATGGTATTCTGCTCTGACCAAACTGGCCCAGATTTGCCTGACTCCTGTATGCAGTGATGTTAAGAGGATTATTTATACAGGAAAACTTTTTAAAAAAATTTTTAAATGTATATTTATTTTTTAGAGTGGGGAGGGGCAGAGAGACAGAATCCAAAGCAGGCTCCAGGCTCTGGAGAGTGAGTGGGGGAGGGGCAGCCTGCTTCAGATGCTGTGATTCTTCAGATTCTCCCCTGCTTGCTCGTGCTTGCACTCGCTCTCTCCAAATAAATAAACATTTCAAAAAATTTATATAATTTTACATTCCATATAGTTTGTTGTTAAATATGCCCTTCAGTAGAGAATATTCGGTTTTATATCTTGATTTTTTTTTTTTAATTTTTTTTTTTCAACATTTATTTATTTTTGGGACAGAGAGAGACAGAGCATGAACGGGGGAGGGGCAGAGAGAGAGGGAGACACAGAATCGGAAACAGGCTCCAGGCTCTGAGCCATCAGCCCAGAGCCTGACGCGGGGCTCGAACTCACGGACCGCGAGATCGTGACCTGGCTGAAGTCGGACGCTTAACCGACTGCGCCACCCAGGCGCCCCATATATCTTGATTTTTTAAGTTAGAAAACTTACAATCTTATATAATCTATATAACTAAAAAGATTGACTTATTTTTATGATCTGTATTTGCACAGGTATGTTAATAGGTTATACAAAAACAGAATTAATCACTGGAAGCAAAACCTTTCTGTTTATCCCAGGCAAACAACTCTTTCCACCAGGAGGGATAAACATAATTTTCTGCGTGGCTCCCTAGCTGCTTCCTGGCACTCGATATGATGTTGAGTACTGTGGTCACATGTGAACATTGGGTTACAAGCACCCTGGCAGGAGAGCCTCTGTTACGTGTATCTTTGTACCGCCCACAATGCTAACCTAGTGGTGTCCTGAACATAAGCCTCCAGTAGATACTGGCTGAATGACTCACTGTTGTCTCTCTGCAGAGGTCAGTTCCTCAGTTCAGTGACGCAGGTTGCATTTCAGCTACTGGGGCTGCAATATCCAGGTGGGGGCTGTGGACTCCTGTAGCCTCTTAATTCTCTTGATCACCCACCATTTACACAGTCGCCCTTTCAGAACCCTCCTCCCTTCTCCCCCACTGCTTTGGATGGTGATTGCTTCTCTTCTTCCCCTTACTCTATATCTCTCAGCAATGATTTAGGGCCATTTTTACAGTCTGCTAATTCCCTGAGAATGAGGTGCCTCTTCTGGGAGATACTGCCATCCTCAATGGCACTGCAGATAGGTTTGTGTTGACTGATCTCCAGGCTCTCCAAGTCATTTTGCCCTTAGCCTGATTACAAGGCACCATCTGTTTGTCTCCATGGCTTAATGAATCGAGGGCTCATAAATATAGCTGATATCTAAATTGAATCCAAATCACAGTGAAGAAAGGATAATAGTCTCCTTCGCCAGAGATGGGTGGGCAATTACTTTTATAGCTTTGGAGAAAAATGGATTATGTAGATACTTCACTCAAATTGGTGGCCCTGAGTCACTGTCCCTATATGCTGATGCTTTTGCTCAGGGACAGTAACTTGCCTGCCCTGTTTCAGGAGAAATAGATTATCTACCTGACCCAAGTTCACTCAGTGAATCAGCAGTCAGATTCTAGCCATCATAGTCCTTCTGCTACTTTGGCTTATGAGGGTCAGAAGAATTTTTCAAGCATGAAGAATATTAAAATAACCATTAAAAAACTGACCTAGTGGGGCGCCTGGGTGGCGCAGTCGGTTGAGCGTCCGACTTCAGCCAGGTCGCGATCTCGCGGTCCGTGAGTTCGAGCCCCGCGTCAGGCTCTGGGCTGATGGCTCGGAGCCTGGAGCCTGCTTCCGATTCTGTGTCTCCCTCTCTCTCTGCCCCTCCCCCGTTCATGCTCTGTCTCTCTCTGTCCCAAAAATAAATAAAAAACGTTGAAAAAAAAAAAACAAAACTGACCTAGTAACCTTGGCCTGTTGCCTAATGCAGTATGGCTGATGAGAGGGAAATCCCTTGCAGTGAGATGGCTGAGTGTTAAGTGTACTACACAGGTTGTGATTTTTCTAGAAATTGCGGGGGGGGAGGGGTGGCTGTTAAACAGTTTTAAAAGATCTATTGCCACTTCTGGTGAATTTGTTCTTACAGTCAGTGGGATCTGGAATCCTTGAGATCCATGGGCTACAGTGAGTGAGTTGTCTCTGGCCTCCCCCTTACCTGCAAGTATTTTGTACCAGAAGGAAGCAGAACCACATGCAGCTACCCAAACAGCCTGTGCTACACCAACACATGTGCTCACTGCCTACCATTGCCATACACTTGACATATCCACGTCTCTGATCATTAAAGCAGCTCTATCATGTAAATATTATTATCCCCATTTTATACGTGAGGAACCTGGGGATCAACATAATTAAGTAATTTTCATGGGTTTCCATTGAGGCAGAGGCAGGATTTGAACCCAGTCCTGTTTAGCTCATGTTTCTGCAATGCTTCGTTGCCGTTCAGTGCATTTTTTTGCCCTCCCTATGCTTATTCTCTGTCTCCTCTTCTGTTTCCCTTTCAGAATCCTTATCAATCACAAGGGTTTTTTGAAATATAAAAATGTGTGTATATATTATATGTACATATATATTCACAACACATGTACTTTTATATCTATATACCCATATAGATGTAGATATTTATAGACAGATATAAATAGATATATAGATGTATATAACATTAAATGAGGAAAGATATACCCCTCAAATGTTAATGGTTGTTTTATCTGAGTAGTAGAATAATTTGTGATTTTCATTTTTTCTTTGTGTTTTTGTGTCTTTCTCAAACTATTATTGTCATCAGGAAACAGTTTTTTAAATCTTTCACATCCTTTCAAATTCATATGCTACTACCTTTGTGAGTAAAATCTTTCCTGATCTCCACACTAATGCTACTTTCTCTTTTGAAACAGACTCTCTTTCCCCAGCACTTTTTTTTGTAACATTAGTTATTTATTTTGAGAGAGAGAGGGAGGGGGAGTTGCAGAGAGAGAGGAGAGAGAAAACCTCAGGCAGGCTCAAAACTGCCAGCGCAGAACTCAGTGCGGGGCTCAGACCCATGAACTGTGAGCCCATGACCTGAACTGAAATCAAGAGTACGATGCTTAACCGGCAAGAGCCACCCAGGCGCCACTCCCCAGCACTTTTATTGTCTTGGGTCATTTCCAGCATTTTGCTTTGTATTCTGTGTAACCACAGGTCCCCAGGTCCCACAAATTGATAGAGGAAAGGAGTCGGGGAGGCGCAGCTAATGATAAAAAAGGTAACGGAATAGCTGTTGCTCCATTAGGAAAGCTAGAATCTTCCTGCTGTATCCACTATATCCCAGACTTTTTGGTCTCATCCCCTCCCTGTGGTCCTGGCCATGTCTCTTCCACATTGCTGTTCCTATGACCTGAGTCAGCCATGATGCTCACTCTGTGTGTGATGCTGTCCCCTCTCCTTCACTTGGTACCAAGCTAGGCCCCATTATTCCATCAGCCTCACACCATCTAGGCTGTACCTCTACCCTTCATCACTTTGCTGAAGTGGGACCATCTCCCACCCAGGTTGTACCTTTTAAAAGTTATTCTCCTTCCCCTCATTTTCTTAATCTCTGATATAACCTATTGCACGATGACTCATGTTTTCCGGCTCCTTAATACATCCCCTCCCCAGCCTCCTTGCCTAGAAGAACTTGCCCTGAGATTAGGTTGGGAGCCAGAGAAATCTGGCCCAATCCTTCCCTCTCCTTAGGGGCCCCAGATGGAAGGGTGCACAACCACTCTCTTGTCTGGGAGATCGAGCTGTGATTTTGTTCTATAATTTATTCTAGTGTCTGTCTCCTGGGTGGCTTGTTTGCTTTCATCTCACCAGTCATTCCCTTTCCAGGAAGGCCTGTCTGCAGCAACCAGAACTGGAAGCCTGGTGGCCCGCTTGACATGCCCTGTGCTTGGGTAGACAAGCAGAAGCAACCCTGCTTGGGCTGTCATCAGTCCACCGTGTCCTCTTCTAAGCCTCTCCATTAACTTCTTGGACAGGAGCTGAGGACCAGTCAACTTTGTACACTCTGTGCACTCTGAAGCAGCTCTTAACATAGGATGGTAAGAGCTCCATAAACTTTTGCAGAAGGAATTACTGAAATCTATTGAATTTTGTGCTCTGCTTTTCTTTCTTAACATTATTGCAGCAAACAATCAAATAAAGATGATTAGTCCCACTTTGTTCTATACTAAGTATATCACACTTATTCTAATCCCATGACTTATTTGAGTTTTAAAACATTGAGATATAATTCATATACTGTAAAATTCACCCCTTTAAAGTTTACAGTTTAGTGGTTTGTTTTTTTTTTTAATGTTTATTCATTTATTTTTAAGGGGCGAGAAAGAGAGAGACACAGCTCAGGGAGGGGTAGAGAGAGGGAGACACAGAGTCCAAAGCAGACTCCAGGCTCAGAGCTGTCAGCACAGAGCCCGACGCAGGGCTCGAACTCACAAACCATGAGATCATGACCTGAGCCGGAGCCAATGCTTAGCTGACTGAGCCACCCAGGTGCCCCTGGCATCCTTTAACTATCACTCCCTCTTGCCCTCTCTACCCCAGAACCCTCCAGTGACTATCAATCTACCTTCTTTCTCTATAGATTTGCCTGTTCTGGACATTTCATAAAAATGGAATCATGTGACATGGACTTTTGTATCTGGTTTCTTTCACTTAGCATAATGTTTTCAAGGTTCATACATGTAGCATGTATATGTATTTCATCAATTTTTGATGGCTAAATAATACTCTGCTGCATGGATATTTCACATTTTTGTTTAGCCATTCATCAATTGATGAACATTTGGATTGTTTCTGCTTTTTGGCTGTTATGAATAGTTTTATTTATTTAACATATACATGTTTTTTTTCTCGAGACCTAATGATTTCAATTTTGGGGGTATATATGCCTTGGTGGATCATATGGTAACTTTATGTTTAACTTTTTAAGGAACTGCCAAATTGTTTTCTAAAGTAGCTGCATCATTTTACATTCCAGAAGCAATGTATGAGGGTTCCAGTTTCTCCACATCTTTACAAACGTGTTATTGTCCATCTTTTTATTATAACTATCCCAGTGGATATGAAGTGGTATCTCATTGTGGTTTTGATTTGCATTTCCCTGATGGCTAATAACGTTGAGTTTCTTTTCATGTGTGCATTGGCCATTTGATATTTTGGTAGAACAGTAGAACATCCTCCAGACTGATACAAAGGGCCTATGTAATCTATTGGCCAGTGAGAAACAGGGCATGTGGTCTGTCCAGTATGCCTTGGGGTGTGGCCCAATAGCCCTTGCCTGAGGTGGCACTGGGGACAGTCCTTGTCAGCAGCTGTGGGTCGGAATATTTTAAAGGCAAATGTGATCTTTTTACTATTTCCCAAATACTTCCGGGACCTCTGTGTCCTGGTTTACAGTGGACCTATTATACTGCATCACATGGAGTCCACATTTCCTCCAGCAGAAGGCCCCTGCCCAGGCTAGTGCACCTGCTCCATGCTCGCCTGGCAGTGTGGGTGGGGAGTGAGTGGACGCGGGCCATACTTGGACAGCTGCGTCAGGTTTAGTGCATACACCCCAGTTATCTTTCCATAGGTCTGCTCCCCACAGGGCTCTATTTCACATAGCTCAGCTTCCTTTGTGCCTTTGCAGGACCCATGTTGTCAACCCTTTTCATGCTGCCCAGCTGTCAGTAGCCAAATTGGTGAGCATGGGTTCATGCATCAACACAATCCATAATGCCCTCAACTCTGCCCAGTGACTACTTTGTCTAGTTCCTACTTTAAAACAAAGTACATTGGGTCTAGTTGGATGGCAGAGGAATGCCAAATTGGCAGGTTTCCCTGGCAACTGCCATCAGTATACCCTGTGTCCTCTGAAGGCAAGCCTACCCTTTTCTTTACTTAGCGGAGGGGACACATAATGGCAGCCACTTCTGGAAGTTGGGCTGGATTGACATAAGTGACCAGCCCTAGTAATGAGTGCAGTTCATGAGACAGCAGGCTGGTATTGAAGTGCTCCTCTGCAGTAAGTAAGTGTGCCATTTCTGGAAGGTGCTTACCTGGGCACAGGCACTCTTAGGTTTGTGGAACATGTCCTAAATCCATCCTCCTATTGGCAGAGAGATTCATATCACCACAGGCAGTTCAGCAGTCAGTCTTTCCCTGTGTGCAGTGCAAGATAGACAGCTAATAGTTGTTTCTCGATGGGACTATACCTTGTTTCTTTTCAATTTCTTGAGGCTTGTTGTATGGCCTAACATGGTCTGTCCATGTTAGAATGCTTCATGTGCACTTGAGAAGAATGTGAATTCTGTTGTCATTGAGTGGAGTGTTCTACTTATCTGAGTTTCCAGTTACTCACTTTTCACCTGATAAAACACTGGTCATCCTTTGAGTTCCATGTCCAAAGGATCTTGTCGGTCAGGCCTTCCTTAATACATCTCACCACTTAAAACATACAGTTTTCTTGTTTGAACTTCCATCACTCATAACTGTGGTATATGGATAGGCCAACACCATAATGGTGTTATAAATTCCATCAAAAGTCAGTCTTTCTGTACTCGGATGTTACGGGTTTCTTTTGTGCAGGGACCATGTCTTAACTCTATCTCCAGATCCCTGAAAACTTAACTTTTTTTTTCCAAGAATTAAATTTTTTTTCTTCTAAAGAAACGGAGGCAATAAATCATAAAAATATCCTTGAAAAAAGTCTTTGAAAATAACTTTTCATCTCTTCCAGGGGAGGAAAATCCATCACCTGGTTAGCACCAGGTGGTATCAGTAGTTGATTGATGTTTTTCTTTTTTTTTTCTTGATTTTTTAAAATTTACATCCAAGTTAGTTAGCATATAGTGCAACATTGATTTCAAGAGTAGATTCCTTAATGCCCCTTAGCCATTTAACCCATCCCCCCTCTCACAACCCCTCCAGTAGCCCTCTGTTTGTTCTCCACATTTAAGAGTCTCTTATGTTTTGACCTTTCCCTGTTTTAATATTATTTTTGCTTCCCATCACTTACGTTCGTGTGTTTTGTATCTTAAAGTCCTCATCTGAGTGAAGTCATATATTTGTCTTTCTCTGACTGACTAATTTCGTTTAACATAATACCCTCTAATTCCAGCCACATAGTTGCAAATGGCAAGATTTCATTCTTTTTGATTGCCGAGTATACTCTATTGTATATATATATATATA